GTTGCCCCAACTAAGTTCTGCCACACATGCACACACTCCTCCCACCAGCCAGCTGGTCTTCGGGTCTCTGCCAGGCATGCATGGGGGGGGCAGCATCTGCGAGGCCTCATGCGTGGGACTGGGGGGCATGCGGGAAGACGTGCACATGCACAGGGAGTTGGGTGTGCGGTGGGGGCATGTGTGGGGGTCACATGCACATGCACAGGGAGGTGGGGTGCATCCAGGGGTTCACACACATGCGCAGGAGGGCAGTTGCATTGCATTTTGGGGGTTTGGGTGTGCATGCGCATTCACGCATGTACACACTTTGGGCACTGAGTCCAGAAATGGTTAGCCATCACTGACTTAGGCCAGCCTTCTCCCATGTGATATCCTTTGGAGATGTGAGGATTTCACTCCCCTAAGGGCAGTATTGACTACTGACAGTGGGAATTGACACACCGGTTTAAAGGATAGCAGATTGCCCAGCCTTACTTGTGCTGCTCTTTGGAATCCATACGTTGCAGAGAGGTCCATGTGGCTCTTTGGAACCTGAGCTAATTGTTCAGTGTGGAGAACAGTGTGAGCCAAGAGCACTTTTTTTTGATAAGGGTAATATACATGAAGCTTTTATGGCAGCTGGATGATACACAGAAAGGTGAAAAGCTCCATATTTAGAGGGAGTCAATCCGCCTCTCAATGCCAGTTGTTGAGAAGCAACGGCAGCAGGTGGCTATTGTTTTTGTCATCCTTATCCAGAATTTGAATTAAAAAATTAAACCAACTCTGGCCCAAGGAAGCACTCACCATGGAAAGCAGAAGAGGGCAATTGCACTTATTGTCAATTCAGAATTTCACTCTTTAACAATGTGCCTGGAATTGAAATGAAAGTCCTTTTGTGTAATGGTAAAAATGCTGGCTGAAAAAACGGGAGACCATGAGTTCTAGTTCTGCCTTAGGCATGAAAGCCTACTGGGTAACTTTGGGCCAATCACCAGGAGACTGTCAGTTCTAGTCCCGTTTTAGGCATGAAAGCTGAGTAACTGGTCCAATCACCAGGAGAGTTTGAGTTCTAGTCCTGCCTTAGGCACGAAAGATGATTGGGTAACTTTGGGCCAATCACCAGGAGGCTGTCAATTCTAGTCCCATTTTAAGCATGAAAGCTGAGTAACTGGTCCAATCACCAGGAGAGTTTGAGTTCTAGTCCCGCCTTAGGCGCGAAAGACGATTGGGTAAGTTTTGGCAAATCACCAGGAGACTGTCAGTTCTAGACCTGTCTTAGGCATGAAAGCTGGCTGACTTTGGGCCAGTCCCACACTCTCAACTCAACCCACCTCACAGGATTCTCGTTATGTGGCAAATGGGAAGAAACAGGGTTATAATGTCTATTGAATTATTTGTAAAGTAATAAAGATGGGATTAAAAAAATCTACTAGAATAACGATGCTGGGTCTCTTTCCTTTTCTTCTCTCTGTTTCTGAAGCTCCTGAAGAGTGCGCCCCCATCCAACAGCAGCCTCCATTTCGCTCAACGCCAGGAGTGCGTCAATCACTTTGCTGCCTGGTTTGGCTACATGCCTCTGGTGCATTCGCAGTTCCGCTTGGACCCAGTGCTTTTCAAGGATCAGGTATCTGTGCTACGGAAAAAGTACCGGCAAATGGAGAGGGACTAGCTCTGAGGGGGAAAGCGCACCAATGCTCTCTGAGAAGGAAGGCGCTTGGAGAAGACACCAACCACGCTGGACTCACTGCTTGCTGTAGGCCATTGGCGCTATGGCCGGATTTGGGGTTGGGTTCACTGCATCAATGCCCTTTGAACTTTGGATACTAAAAAAAAAAATGGAAACACTCACTGGTAGCCAGGGGTGGTGCCAGAGGAATGTTCAGTCTTTATTGGGTTTTACCAGTATCAATAAAGTTTTGCAGAAAACAACTCTTTCTCGAATGCCTTCAGGTAGCCGTCTCTTTTCAGACCAGAGACAGAAATGCTGGCTTTGGTGTTTTGACACGGATGGTGAACATGGGTTCAAAATCTGTGGGGCCTAATCTACATTGGCTTCTACTGACCCATTAGCTAGAATTGCAGGTGCCGAAATCAGCCAAAGGGTGTATTTTCAAGTTGCTTGTGATTTCCCTGCTTTTTAGCAGAGGCAGGTGTTGTTGTTTTTTATAGAACTAGCTGATAACCTGGTGTTGCTTGGGTATTTATTTATCCTAATCTATACATTTGTCCTCAAAAATAATTCCAGACCAAACATAATTTCTAATGTTGGATTTTCCCCCTTACCAGAGGGAGCCCCCTTGTGGAGTATTGTGAAGCCATTACCATGCAACGCCACTGCGCTGCACAATAGAAGCCATTTTATAGCAGAACGGTAGAAGCCATTTAAAGGCACAACAGGCTGCATCTTAACACAACACATACCCCGAGGGTGTTAGGAGTATCTTACCCCACAGTATTTGTTTCCAGAGTCATCTGTAAGTCATCTGTGTACCAAGTTTGGTTGGAATTGCTCGAGGCGTTATGTTGAAACATACCCCCACAGAGCCATTTTTATATAGAGAGATAAAACATGATGTCTTTTGGGAAGATGAAACAATCTGAACATGCTGAAATTATGGTGTCCTCAGGCTAATTTTTTCTCCAGTGGTTGACTAAGCAAGGAAGAAAATCTTTCTTAACAGCCGTGCCACTTAGTTCTAAGGCATGCTTCTCATTACCTTCTAAAACAGAGTTTCTCAATCTCTGAACCTTTTAAGATTTGTGGACTTTAACTCCCAGAATTCCCCAGCCAAATTTTGATCGCATGGCTTTGGGAAGGCTGCAGTGGTTCCTTAAGTGTGAAAAATGATCACATCACTTTTTTTCAGGGCAGTGATAACGTCGAACGGTCACTAAATGAATAGTTGTAAGTCAAGGACTACTTTCGATGCAAGATTTCTTGCAGGAAAGGGTGATGTTTAGGAGACACCGTTCTGAGAAATGGACGGGTATAGAATGGGTGACACCTAGCTCAACAGTAGCAACTACGAGAGAGATCTATGTCCTAGTGAACCACTGCTTAAGTATGAGCCAGCAGTGGGTTGCAGCTACTCAAAAAGCAGGTGCAGTCCCTGGGCTGCATCAACAGAGGGACAGCATCAAGATCATGAGAATTGATAATGTTGTGGACCACCAGCGGCCAGCAAAGCTGGTGGCAGACTCAGACAGTAAGGAGTTGGGGAGGAACATGGGCCAATCCTGGAGTCTGGGGAAGGCTCTGATGAGGGCTCTGCGTTGGAGGCAGAGAAGGGGCCAGGACCGTCTGACAGTTATCATCTGCCTTCGGAGTCAGACATCAGTGGGGCAGCAGAACAGCTGGAGCCTGTTCCCAGTGTGTGCATGAGCAGCGCTGCCAGGAGAAGGGAACAGCTAAGGCACAAGGGTCAACTAAGGAGTCAAACCACAGGTGGACAGTGAATGGACCCTCCCATAGGGAATAAAGAGGAGCGAAAGGGGAGGGGAGTTTGAAGGAGACAATTCTTATCATTAGGGTGAAGTTCTGTTCCTGACTTCTTGCCAAGTATTGTGTGCTACCGTGGCACGACAAAACCACGGTCCACTAAAGCGCGCCCGATTAAAGCGCATACCTGACGTCATCAGCAGCGCGACAAATACCACCGCAGAGAAAAAAAGGCGCTTTAAAAAGCGCTTTTAAAGCAAGCTGATTCACGAAAAGGTAAGGGTTAGGGTTAGGTTTAGCGTTAGGTTTGGGGGGGTTAGGGTAAGGTTTTTGCGTTAATTTTAACTTTACCGCTCACAGCGTGATGTTTTCGTCGCGCTGTGATGACGTCAGGTACGCGCTTTTGTTGAGCGCGCTTTAGTCTACCGCGGTTTTGTGGTGGAACTGTGTGCTACAGAGTGACGTTTGGGAGATAGCGGCCTGGCAACTCTCCAAGCCTGATAAAGGTCTGTAGCTGTGAAATCTCTTGAAAGACTGTTGGGCGGGACTTTGCTGGAGAGGAAATCACTTTAAACTAAATAAAAGGGGTTTTATCGTGACGAGGAGTCGGCTTCGTGCTTTTGGGAAGCCTCGGTCCGAACAGAACAGAACTAAGTGTATTTTGTATTTGTATTTGCCTTTATTTGTATGCCGCCCTTTTCCCTGAAGGGACTCAGGGCGGCTCACAATTCAAAAGGGAGGGGGAAAGTGCAATCACACAGACTTATATACCGCTTTACAGTGCTTTTACAGCCCTCTCTAAGTGATTTACAGAATCAGTCTCTTGCCCCCAACAATTTGGGTCGACGTTTTACCCACCTCGGAAGGATGGAAGGCTGAGTCAACCTTGAGCTAGTGAGATTTGAAGTGCTTAACTGCAGCTAGCAGTCAGCAGAGGTAGCCTGCAGTGCTGCACTCTAAGCACTGCGCCACTGTGGCTCATAATGCCACCATAGTTCATAATAACCACTGAATGCCAACTAGTGAAGCCACACTTGGAATATTGCCTCCAGTTCTAGTCACCACATGCCGAGAACCTAGAAAGTGTGCAGAGAAGAGCAACAAAAGTGACCCAAAGTCTGGATGCTCAATCATATGGCGAACGGTTGAGGTATGTCTAATCTACTGAAGAAAAGGATAACTATCTTGCAGTACTTGAGGGGCTGCAACAGAGAGGAGGGGGGATTGACGTTTTCTCCAAAGCCCCAGAAGGCAGAACAAGACGTAACAGATGGTCCCATCTCTGAAGGTTTTCAAAAGTAGACTGGACAACCATTTGACCAGGATGGTTCTCCCGCCTTGATCAGGGGGTTGGACTAGAACAGGGGTCTCCAACCTTGGCAACTTTAAGACTGGTGGACCTCAACTCCCAGAATTCTGGGAGTTGAAGTCCACCAGTCTTAAAGTTGCCAAGGTTGGAGACCCCTGGACTAGAAGACTTCCAAGGTCCCTTCCAGCTCTAGCAATCTATGTTTTATGAATAGGTGAGAGCACTTAAGCCATTTGCCAATTTCTCTTCGTTGGACTTCTCTTCCAAGCAAGGTGTTTTAAGCAAAGGATTTATTTCTGACAATGAGTGAGGCAGGGAGGTTCATGATCAAAGACAACATCCTTCCCTCCAGTTTGTCAGCTCTACTGGCCCATGGGGCTGAAAAGTTAACTCCCTGAAAAGTTTTGGGAAGGTTGGGGGTCCATTAGCAAAAGGGAACATACCAATTGCAACGTATTTTAACCAAGGTGTCAAAATGCATTGTACACTAGCCTGGCTCTCTATCTTTGGCAGCTGAACCGAATAATTTCTGGGTCAACTATGGTGCAAGGAAAAAAAAAGCTGTGTATGCAGTTTTGTAGCAGAAACACAAAGCTGTGAAGGGGACACTTTCTCACTGGAGGAACTTCGACAGCTTGAAGTGCTCTAATGCCATGCTAGTCAGTGGTGGGGATTCATTTTTTTTTACTACCGGTTCTGTCGGTGTGGCTTGATGAGCGTGGTGCGGCTTGATGGGCGTGGCTTGGTGGGCATGGCAGGGAAAGGATACTGCAAAATCTCCATTCCCTCCTCACTCTAGGGGAAGGATACTGCAAAATCTTCATTTCCTCCTGATCAGCTGGGACTCAGGAGGCAGGGAATAGATAGGGGCAGGGGCAGTCAGAGGTGGTATTTACTGGTTCTCCGAACTACTCAGAATTTCCGCTACCGGTTCTCCAGAACTGGTCAGAACCTGCTGAATGCCACCTCTGATGCTATTCTTACAATGTTTTCTCCAACAAAGCAGAGAGGTGGCATCGCCATCTTCCTCTGCAGTGATACTGTTTTTAAAAAGGGATGAATTAAACAGTAGAGGGGGAGGGGGAGAGTAGGTTGCTGGCCAGCTATCGCTTTTGGCATTCCTATTGTTGCTCAGTGCAAAGACTTTCCAGAACTCTTTAGTTGGTTCTCTGCTTGATGAGGATTATGCAGATTTTCGGAAATGATTCTGAATGACGGGGGAATCAATAGAAGAGAGTATTTGTAGCTCAAGGTTGAACTATTGAATCCTTGGTGCAGGGGTGAAATGCTACCAGTTCGGACCAGTTCACCTGAACCAGTGGTAAAAATACTACTGGTTTGCCCGAACCAGCAGTAAAAAAAATGCTGCGGGTTCAGATGAACCGATTTTTCCTATGATCACCTCTGACACTTCCTGCTTTCTAGCAAATCTAAACCGCATGGTACAGTGGATTTCCCCCCCCCCCCAATCGCTGTTCGCTTATCTTTGCAAGTGCTCAGTAACAGGCTCCACCCACACGCCCGAACCTCATCACGTCCGTTTTTTATGCTCTGCGCATGCGCGGGAGATCCTGCGCATATATAGAGGTGCCGTGTGCGAGCGCTTACATTGCTACCGAACCGGTAATAAAGGCAAGTGGATTTCACCCCTGCCTTGGTGGTCTCTGAGCTTTGGCGGTTTTCTTGCAGACTTTTCATTACCCAGCTAGGGAATATCATCGGTGCCCTGAAGATTTTACTTAGTTGGGTAAAGCAACATCTGTAAATAAACAGCCAAGCTCAGAAAGCACCAAAAATTCCATGGTTTGAGGAATGGAAACGGGCTGCGTGGAAGTGCCAGGAGTTACTGATTTGGTCGAGGTTTTCCCAACATGGAAAGAAAAAAATAGATGAGAAAGGAGGATAAAGAATACCGGTACATTACTATAATATCTGCTGAAAGATTAGTGAGGCTAATGTTTGTATTTTTGCTGTGTGGAAGGATTTGGTTACTATTCTCTTGGCAAAAATATATGGGAATGAAGCCAAATGGAGACATAATTCCTTGATTTCCTTTCCTGATGGGGCTGACACAGTTGCTCTAAAACATTCCCCTCATCTGAATGGCTGATTAACAGATGTCAATAATGCCACAATTAGGTGTCAAGCCAAGGAAGACTTGGGAACTGATAAAGAGAATGT